CGATCCACGCGAACAGAAGTCGATAGACGCAGTCGTCTAGGTTTTTTAACAGACACACTTTACGATCCCATAGTCGTAAATAGGCAAAATTATCACGAGAGGGAAGCGTTTGAACGGGAAGAGGCGTTGATAGTCGCAATTGGAGAACAGATAGGAGAACAATAGGGGACGTATTCCCCGTTCAATGGTTCAATTGTCAAAATATGAGAAAGTAGTGCTTGAAGAAAGACGTGGAAGATGGGAGTACGGAATGAGGGGAGAGGTGGGAATCGCTCGTAATTTCGCTCTCTCCCTACATGAACATGGCATCCGTGGAGATTTGTGGGTGTATGTGGGGGCTTGTGGGTGTATGAAGGTTTGTGGGTGTATGGGGCCGACCGAGTGCAGCGTTTCAACTTTCCTCGTCGAGAAAGTTGCGTCTCCTTGAGTTGTTTGTGGGCTTTTCGATTGAGAGGGAAAAATTCGACTGAGAATTTCCAAACTTGTTTGACTTGCTGAGCGTGGGAGTCGGTCGATGAATAAATCAATGTGAATCCATTCGCTCGGATTCAACCCCGTAATCTGACTCGGGGGGGAGCCTCACGCTTTTTAGTTCTGATTGGCTTCAGGTTGAAACTAGTGCGTTCGGTTCTAATTAAGTCGGTTCTAATTGGTGGGACGATTCCCCTCAAAGCAGACGAAAGGATTTGATTTCCAACGAGACGATGCTAGTCGAATCTCGATGGGATCTCATTCCACCCAGCTGGGCGCAAAACTGTCTCCAGTTTCTTTTTATTATGTCGATGCTTGATGCCGATGCTTGATCGAGAGGCGGGAGACGCACGAGAGAGGGCGTGGGTGGCACCTCGTTAAAGTAATTCCGGGTTCGGTTGGAGTTTTCGCGAGGAGTACTTGCTCCCGCGGGGGCTGCTGGATGGACTGGAATAATTGAGTTAACTCGTCCATCCGGCTTCCTGATACCCTGCTTGGCCTTTATGGCCCTCCACTTCTTGGCCTTTGAATGCCTTTCCAGTTCGCCGCCTACGTGTGCGAGAGAAAAGGGGGGGGGGGGGGAAGGGGGGGAAGGAAAGGGCGATTCGGGAAAGAGCGCCTTTGNCCTTTATGGCCCTCCACTTCTTGGCCTTTGAATGCCTTTCCAGTTCGCCGCCTACGTGTGCGAGAGAAAAGGGGGGGGGGGGGATATGGGGGTAAGGAAAGGTCGATTCGTGAAAGAGCGCCTTTGCTATTGATGCCTAATAGATTAAACTTGTCGTTGGGGGGCTTCATGGCGTGGATCGGCTTTTCTCTGACTGTTCTGCTTTCATCGCGGCGAGATCGTATTTTTATTATTATCCAGATGTCATGTTATTTCGATAAGGGGATGACTGGTGTTCCGTTGTTTGTTTGTTTTTTTTCTCGATATGATTGACGTAGCACTGATATTTCTGGGAGCCGATATTCCGCGCCGTTAACGGAGTGCGTTCGTTAGCAGCTTGGTCGATCTTCATCACCGCGACAGGTTGCAATCCTTTCTTCGACATGCCAGGGATCCGGGTTGCGGTGCCAATTCGGTCCCTGCACCCTGACACGGCTGAGTCAGAAGTCAACGCGATCACGGTTCATCCTCCGCCCACGACTTCGCACGCACAAAAGACGCCGAGCCTATCAATCCGAATGATGAGAGCGACCCCGAGACCGTGTGTCACGCAGTTGCGACACACAGTGTTGTCAGACGCACAGTCGCGTCAAAAATAGCATCACGCGTTCGTGACGTATCCAGTCATACGAAAGGGGAGGGTGCGTGTGAGATTTCCAATTATGGTGGGTGCGCGCGCGCGTGTCCTCACGTGGCCTGCCACGGTTGCCCGGTCCACGTCTGCGCATCCGGCAACATTGCATGCCGCCTCCCCATTGGTCGGCGGCCCGAGAGCACCGTCGTCCGCTCCTTCTTCCCCCATCACCCTCTGTTCCCCCCCGACCTCGAGCAGTTCGCTCGCTTCGCTTCGCCCGGAAAGTCGTATGTGCGCGCGTGTGAACGTTCTGCATCCCATCTCTAGTCATGGTTTTCATCACTCCCGATCATGTGAGTCTCGGAGCTGTTGAACCCTTTGGTACTCTTGAATGTACTCCAGGAAACGGAAAAGGCCACAAGTCAGTCACGAACCTCGGGTGAATCGATTAGAAATTCACTACCGGCCGTAAACCCATCTTATCGTGTCTCCCCAGATGCACATTTCATACATAAATGCAGACCAACGGACGCATTTGAAACGCCAAAAGGTTGTCGGAAACGTACTACGCTGCTTGTGGATGACAGTTCAGACGAGGAAGTAAACGTTAACCTTTCCTGAAAGGGTTCAGGGTTGATCGCGTCGATCGTATTTTTTCTATTGTATTTTTTTTTATCGTATATTTTCCGTTGTATTTTTTTTAAATAGTATTTTAATATATATTTTTTTTTATATACACGGGATGTGTTTCTCGAGATTGATGGCCAATCGAATCACGGTGACATGCAGCGGGCCATGTGGTTAATGTAACCCCACAATCCCTCGCATCCGCTTGTTAGCGAGTGATTGCTCCCTTAATTCGATTCCATCCTCCCGTCCTGCTCAGACAAGCCGACGAGCAATGAGCCCCGGTGAGTGACGAAGGCGGAATGAATCAGAAAGAATAAGGGGGAGTCGTGAGTAACCTCGGGAGTCGCGATCGAACCGCGATCGGAGCAATTGCAAAGTGAGTGACGTATGTGTTTAGAGAATCCGGAATGAATCACTAAAAAAAAAAGCAGATTCATCAGTTGTCAATGCGGAGGATCGCAGAAAGCCAGCGTCGAGTTACGTAGAATGCCAGGAAGTCGCATGCGGTCGTCCTGTGTCGTCAGTGTCGGCCTGTGTCGTCAGTGTCGGCCTGTGTCGTCAGTGTCGGCCTGTGTCGTCAGTGTCGGCCTGTGTCGTCAGTGACGGCCTGTGTCGTCCTCTCGACTCGTTTTTGCGAGGCGCTCGAGTTTCTGCTTGCAACGTGTTGGCTTAACGTGACGTCAGAATTTTGTGTGTACCTATCTGATTAGAAGTCTGTAACCATAGACAGATACGAGAACGCGCCCACACGTCGCTAGTGTTAAAATTAATGACAATTTTTTTTTGATGGGGATAACCATAAAGCGAAACCAAAGATCCTGAGGCTCGTGGGCCGATAATTTCATGCGAGATTGGGGAAGGAAGCGAATCGCAACGACTTTCAGCGACGACCGACGAGGACCTCGCGACCTTCGAATATGAATTTTTATTTTCCCTTTAATTTGCGAAGTGCGTCAGAGGAGACGGTTGCACCTGACGAGCGACGCAGGAGGCTTACGTGCTCCGATTAATGTGGGACTTTCAATCCCCTTCTTCGAATGACGAAAATAGACTGCTACAGTTTGCCATCGCGCTTATAATGCCTCTGGTATTAGCTCGGAACCCTGTTTATTCTCGCATCTAATGCACTGTGCAGCGTTCCTCGACGGAATCGAACAAATTGGTGTTAGGTGCCCTCGTTAGGAGTTCGTTCCGTCGTGCTTTTAAATTCCAGCGAGTGTTGCGAAACGTTTCGAAATTCCAGTTTGCTCTGACCTCAATCTGAGCATATGAAATATTCAAGACCTTTAAAAATTCTCACGACGGCGTTTCCCATTCCACATTCAATGAGCATATTTTAATGTAGATTCAAAACCCGGATGCCAGCTGCGAAACGGCATCGATTTAGCCGGTGGATTTCATTATTCAAATTGTTCTTACCGTGCGTTCAGTCACACGCTAGGAAGGTTTATTATGATGGTAAAAAGGTGAATGGGCCCCCTAAGCGCTTCCACCGGAAATGGTGCGGGTTCCCATGCACCATAATGCCAGGACTTCCTTTTCATTCATCCAGCCACTCGTTGGTTCATTCATTCATTCATCCGTTCCATTTCCTCGTGTGAGAACCCCGGAGGTGACTGGAAACACATGACCGGACGGACTGGGGGGAGGGGGAGGGGGGGGGGGGGGGAACCGAGGCATTTGAATGTAAATAGCTAACTGGTAAGTGAGAATATGGCGGTGCAATGAAGCATTTTCCTCTCTTCCGCCCCTCGTCCTGCATTTTGTTTCAATAGGCATCTGCTTCCCGTTATTCATGATATCCGCTTCCCTCCTCACTCCCTCTTTTGGGATTTCCGGGTTGACTTTTCGGGGGGATATGTACTCGTATGCCCCCCCCCCCCCTTTCCCCCGGAAATGAGGGGGCCCTGTCGCCTGGGTCGGACCCCCTCCTTCCCTTTTCCTGTATATACTTTCATGTACCACCCAGGATATCACACAGGAAACTCGCTTTGTGGGTGGTGGTGGCGTCGGCGGTCCTGCTATCAGTAGCGTTGAGGGGAGTTCCGTGGTCTCGTGATGTATATGGAATATGCTATGTGACGTACGAGGCTAAAAACTGTTTATATTTTGAGAAAGAGAAGAAAATGCCCCGGTACTTAAGTCATTACGTCGGTATCAGTAGATTTGCTTTGAATGAATGATGGAATGGGAGGTTGGGGGCGCTCTTTCACTATTCATGAGATATGAATGAACCTTTGTTACGAAAATAGCGGTATCTCATTGCGTACGGGATCGAAACGGTCTGCCTTTCATCTGATATGCCGCGATTTCCACATGGATTCGCCCGAAATCTCATCGGGCGACGGAATGCCTTTCTTACGATTCCTGTGAGCTCCTGTAATTTCAGTGGGCGTTTCTCGGCAAGTCACATCATCATTTGTTTCGTTTTGTGTTTGCGGAACTGTCAGAAACTGCGCCGAAGATAGGTATATACGGAGAAGTGAGGAAACGGAAGGAGGTCAAAGAGGGAGAGACAAACAGGGGAAGATGCCCCCGTAAGTGATTAGCCAGAGTAGTTTATTTGGGGAAGGATGACTCATGTGGGGAGGAAGCCGAAGAAGTGTAGCGAGCCACCTACTACTTACCCCACCTTCGTCCCCCCCCCCCCCCCCTGCACCTGATGATGATTGTCAATGACAGGTCTCAAGCCGCGTCAGTGCACTCTTTGTAGTACGTGAACCCGGGAGTGGTTCTTGATCCCCGGCCAAATACATCCCGGGCGGTCGTGTTTCATCTATATTGACGGAAACCCACGCCGTTGTCAGATGGTTACTTCCAGAAGCCGCTTCATAACTGGTGTTGTAGTCAAAACCAGTGGCACTGTACAGGGTTCCCACAAAACCCATGGGGTCTTGTGCATGGATGGAGCCCCAGCTATTATTCCATTGTTGATGATTGATGTGCTGGGGAGAAATGACGGGAAAACTAGAGAGTGGCTTTGCCGCGATTTCGGCTATAAAGCTGATAAGAAGCCTAGCATGCCTCAGGTTTTCCACCCTAGTGACAATCGAGAACGATTGAATATTGAATCTTCCAGCTGGATGCCTTCGCAATAATCCCCCTTTCCCGCCGTCGCAATTCAACAAATCCCGGCCAAACATATGCTGAGTTTTATTGCGTTGCGGCGATATTTCATCAAGGGAGGTCAAGAAAAAAGTAATCAAAGCCATCTGGGTATCCTACTCCTACGCAATGGCTATCGTGGAACCCGTCAATATTTATCGACCATGATACCCTCGGAAGGCAAAGAAAAGCGCGGAAAAGAATTCCTCAGAGTCTTGATGTCTGCTCGTCCCACGCCCATCCATCTGGTCTAGGCCTTTTGCCATGAACCCGCCTACACATCGAACGGAGGGAAAAAGGGTAGGCGATCATTCTAGTTGCTCCTGATCCATTTTTAATGGGGAGCTCGGGCTGTCAAGTCGGGTTCATACCCGACACACTCAAGTGGACATAGCTTCCGCAATATCCTATCCTCTTTTACCATCGGGTCGGAACTTCCTGCAGCGTTTGCAGACGAACAGCTGCGCAGTTCCACGCCCACGTTTATCGATGGCGAGGCGGAAGGGGAGGAAGGAACCGGAAGTGCATGATCGATCCAGGTAGTAAACTCACCTGGAGTTCTATCAGAGAGTCTGCTCCGCTTCCATTCACACGCTGGGTTTGTGAATGAAGAGAGGGAGGGGAGGTGGCAGTCGGAAAGGGTGCAGGGGGAGACCGTATCGACCGGCGCAAGCGCCCTGCAGCCTCATCACGGGGGCGGAAGCAGGAAGACTTGCCAGTGGAGGCATTGCGAGGGATTGTTTTGGTACGAGTCTTGGTGGCGGAAGGAGGGAGGCCTGAATGGGGATGTCTCTGCTGTCCCGTCCACAGTGGAGGGTGAGCCGAGGGGGGAAGAGCAAGAGGAAAGGCGTCGCCAAGGGACGGATTCGCAAGAACGCACCGAAGAATGCACCCCCCGCCGGAGGCGTCGAACCCCCGAAATTGTTGATCGAGGAAGAAAACGCCATCCTGGTGACCGAGGTCGACATGGGGAAGTCTCGGAAGAACGCGTGTATCGCGAAGGGGCGGGTGGAGCCCATGAAGCCAGATCAGCTTGCCGCCATGCTCAATGATCCCAAAGAAAAGGTGAGAATGTTCCTCCCCGTCCCCAGCCTTCATCGCATCGAACTCCGGCGCCGCGTTATTTGTCTACGATCGGAAAGGTCCGTCGAGCGCGTGTTTGTCGTCTTCGGTATGAAATCGTGCTCGAGGCTGTCCGTGCCGACGTCATCGTGATGATCGAGGAGACGAGTATTTACCGATCTGTTGACGCCACCGCGGGGGCGTGATCGTAATGGGAGTTCTCTCGCCCCGGCTTTGCGGTGATCCGCACTTCAATCTGCGGGGACTCCAAAGGAACGGTAATTCGCTCCATTAGCGACGTTTCTCGCGTTCGACAAAGGACGGGCGGCGGAGCGGCGAAATCAAAGGAAAGGCAGGGTGCGACCTCGTGGAGATTGATGACTTGATCGCGATTGCACCTGTCCCCCTCACGATGGTATGTTGCAGGTGATGCTCCTGGATTGCCGGTCCTTCCTGGACTTCAACGAGGGGCACATCCTCAACGCCGTAAACGTCTGGTGCTCCAAGCTCCTCAGCCGCCGGTTGCAGCAGAATAAGGTCAGTCGCGAACTCTCTCTCTCTCTCTCTTGGGCGTGTGGATAGATTATGGGTGCACGGAGAACTCGTTTCTGCGAGGAATTATGTGTACAGGATGGCGACAACAAAGAAGCCCCGACTTTTAACCGAAGCGTCTCTGCTGCTATTTTCATCAAACTTGCTCTGTGCATAGGCTGATACACTTGCACGAGACGTTGTGATTTGTCATAAAATTCCACGATGCCAAAGCAAACAAGAGCAGTTATTCAAAATAGGTTGGATTAGGAAAAAGGACAGGGGCTTGTGCTGGAAATAGAAGGAAGAGCTTTCGTGCCGTGAGTGCAAATGTGGAGTTTTTGCATGTTTTTCTCCGGTTTCCGAGTTTTCGATGGGCGTTCGCGGCCTTGCTGCGGCGCGGAGGTTCGCGGCGGGCGTGCCGGGGTGGTGGGGGATTTTTTTTTTTTTCCTGTCATTAAAGGAAAGCGAACTTCTAATCGGAGCCGAGTCTGTAAATGAAAACAAACACCGGGGAAATACACGATGAAATCAAAGCTGATCCGAGTCGACTCGGGTTGCGTATTCCCGGAATGCAATTTCATAAAGAGAGCATCTATCTCGGAAGAAGACCAAGATCGATATCGTTACTGTTGCGATCCTTATTGCTTTTGCCGCCGTGTGTACGTCTCTTATTGTGGGGATACGAAAGTAAGTTCGGATCCGGCCTAAGCATTACAAATGACCAGCATCCGGTTACTTGCAATATCGAAAGTATACTTCGAGTTCCTGTGCAAAGGGTTTCGGATTTAAGTGGACGAGAAAGGAAGAGTTTGAATTAATCTTCTTGGAATGATTGTCTTGAAGATTCGAAAGTATTCGTTTCGTTGATGAATTCGGGGGGGTCCTGGTTTTTCTCACTTTTAGTTAGGATGGTATCTGATGTGCGAGGGTGCCGCCGATGTGCCGTTGCCGAAGAGGAACGGATTTCCCTGAAATTCCAAGCGGTTGTTGAGAACAGATCGATCTATGCGCAGTGCACGTTTCTCCAGTGAGTGCAAAAAAAAAGGTGGAAAGGTCCTTTGCCTCGATCGGGGCGCATTTTGCGGGCGCCGTGTTGGATGCGCATACTTCCGTCGACGTTTGCGAGAATCGTTCGGAACGTGTGCGCATCGTAATCTTCGCCGCTTGATCGCGACTATTTCCTGTTTGATCTAATGGTAAACTCATCATAAGGCGACTACGAGGGGTAGCGGAAACTCGCGGAGACGTTTGCAGAGCGATAACTCCATTCCCCCCCACATTTTCCTCCTGTGTCAACGGGGAGAATGGGACGATAACGGACGGATCCCGGCGATTGGCCCGGATCTCGCTCGGGGTGCCAGGATCCCGATGCAGATGTCGCTGCGGGTCGTCTCGGTCCGTAGACCCGTTCCTGGTTTCGTTCGGCCCCCTTTCCCCCGCTAGAAATAGCGGGGTCCGGATACGCGCGGATGGATGGGAAGGACTTCCCGTCGGGGCACATCCCGGATACTCGAGAAATTGAAGAACGTGCGATGGGGACGTGTGCCTCTTGTTAGGAAATCGGATGTGCTCCAGATGAGACTCGTCCCCCCCCCCCCCCCCCCCCCCCCCCCCCCCCCCCCCCCCCCCCCCCCCCCCCCCCCCCCCCCCCCCCACCCCCCACCNGGTGTAGTGGTAGCACACCTGACCGGCAATCAGGAGGCCCGGGTTCAATTCCCGGCCGTTCCTTGGCTTCTTTCGTCCTCTCATGCCTTCCGTCGTCCGTCTCCTCATTGCCCCTCCGTAACAATATCCCTCGATTCGTGCCAAGCGGGTGGTTTTGTTGTTGCGGTTAGGTGGATCTCCGGGAACCAGAGTTTCCTGTATGAATGGGTTATGAGTCATAATTTCGTGTATGGTTTGAGTCACACAAGGAGATGAGACAGCAGACGGCGTATGAGACGGCAGGATTTTCTCCTTGTTCGCAGGTTTCTGCCCGAGAGATCCTGAGCAATACTTTCCACTTGGAGCTGGAGGACACGCGGCAGATCGTGCTGTACGATCAGAATTCCCAGGACCTCGAGGACCTGGATCCGGATGGGTTCGTCAGCATCTTGATGGATAGGCTCACCCTCACCTTCCCTGCTGTGGTCTTCCTACGAGGTGAGTCGAAATCGACCCTTCGACCTCGAACCGACCTTGCCCCCGGGGGTCGATCGGGGACGCGTTGGGGTCGTCCGTTGGGGCTGTCCGTTGGGGCTTTGGATGGTCATGTACCCGCCAAAAATGAAATCTGATATGGGCGACGACCAATTTGTGATGTAATGGCCGAGGCTCTATTATCTTAATGGACTGTAAAGGGAACCAGGGAAGGGAAGAGAGGAGGGTGGGAGACGGAAATCCCCCTATATACGAACGAGTTTATTACCAAGTCCCAGGGGGGATACAAGGGGGGGAGGGGGGGGAAACGACGTTCCGCTTTGAAACTGATGCGACGACTGTTTGAAAAAAAAAATTTTAAGGGGAGAGATGGGGTATGATTGTATGGGGGGATAGGGGAGAGATGAAAGGCATGATGGACAGACAGATGTTCCTGCTCCCCTCTCTTTGGGCGCCACCACCCCTCATTTGATGCGTCATCAAACGATGACGTCACCCCTTGGGCCGAGATGAAATGATGCGTGTCACTTTCGTATGTTCCGCAAGTGTCTCCACCCCCTTTAGCGCAGGGGGACGAGCCGCCGAAACAATTTATTTGATTAGAAGGGCGATTATCCAATCCCGTTCAATGAGAGAGGCGTCGCTATCGCTCTGCTCGAGTAGTCTTAAGCCAGTGTCGTTTGTCTGAGTTTGTCTGACGTCCGCGGTGACTGTTGGCTTGGATGGTCGACCCCGTTCGGTGTGGTACGTTGGTGTCGAGGGTGGAAGTGCGAGGGGCTTCGGGCACGTTAGACAGGCGACTGGGATGTCATTGGGTTTTAATCGCGTGCATGGCTTTTGTAACTTATCGTCGAGAGGCGTGGAGCTGGAGCGACATGCGACGGGCCCCGAGATAGATCGTGACCTAAATCCCCGCGGGAAGATGGGGACGTGCGACACGTTCGAGTGCGGCGATAGTCATGGGTGTTGCCGTTGTCGTGCAGGTGGGTTCCGGAGGTTCCACAAGGAGCACGCGGAGCTGTGCGAGGACGCGGCTCGGTGGCGACCGATCCTGAAGACGCTGAGTCAGCCGTGTTTGAGCTGCGTCCGAGGAGGACCCACCAAGGTCCTCCCCTTCCTCTTCCTCGGATCAGAGCACGATGCTGCCGACCAGGAATTCTTCCACGTAAGAGCCTCGACGTCTTTTTGACTCTGCCTCGAAGGAGAGCCCGAAGGTAGGGCCTGCGCTGGGATTGCGGCTAAGGACGGAGCCGATAGGGCTAGGATCTTCCATGGCAATGAGCAAAGGTTGAGAGGATGGAGTGGATTCCCGATGGCCACTCGAGCATGGAAGATATAAGGCTTTACCGCTGTCGTTAAGGGCGACTGTAAGGCAGCTTGGGCGGTTCATGGGAAGTCCTGGGATTTTATGTACATTGGGGGAGACATAACCCCGCAATTTTTTTTTGTTCCTTTTCCATTTGTGTTCGTGTTCACTTCCTACACTGTCCAATTTATGCTTACTCTTGAGACCACCCCGAACTGATTCGGAAAATACGTAGTTCATTGTGTGATGTGAATTTAATTATTACCTTATTTTAGAATTAATGTCTATAAATCCTGAACGAATTAGAAGCATCGGACATTTAAACTGGACCTTAGGCGCAACAAAATTTTTATTAGGAAAAAAAAGTTCTATCCTGGTGGTGGCCTGAAATGACGGGTTAGATTCGATCACACAGGCGAAGAAATCGCTGATCGTAAATATGGACACGTCACCCTTTTTCGCTTTTAATCTAACCAGCTGGAATGACGGGACAAATTTCACTAGCCATGCCGCAGCGTAATCTAAAGAAAGTCAGTCGTGCATGATCGGCGGTTAAATGTGCAGGAAGTCTGCCCCGTCGAATCGTTCCCGGAACACTCGCTGAAATATTTGCTCGGATCTCATTTTTTAAAGCGGAACGTTTTCCTGAAAGGGGGGGGGGGGGGGAATCTTCCGCGCGAAGGGTTCGCCTGACAAAACTCGATACATCACGATATCCCTCGAGGCGGGCTTGGGGATTTCCCAACGGTCGCATGCCGCTTATGGAGGTGGACCTGTGGAGTGGGAATTAGAAATTTAGAATATTCGGTGTGGACATGTGAGCCTCGAGGGCATGCTGGGTCGGGTTCGGAACTTGTGAATAGTTGATGCGCTTTTACATTTGGGGGGGGGGGGGGATCAAGGCCGAGAATTGGCAAGGGTGGATCTGAGAAATCGGCTGTCGGATCGGATTGACTTTTCTCGTCAGGCATTGAGCCAGACTGGCTCAGAGAACTCTTTCCTCTTACAGAAGCTGATATGAGAAAGTCGGCTGAGTTCCAGCTTTAAATCTTGCAGTTATCTTTGGAAAGTTTTAAATAAATTCTCTGAATGTTTTCGAAGCTATGCGTTGTTTACCTATCCTCCTCCCAGAAGTATCCTCCCCGGCTAGTCTGTAGAGTCAATCTTTTACAGGATTACAGGAGTTCCAAATTGTTTATGAAGTCATTTGAGAAGCTCGTGGAATATAACGGTATCAGAATCTGCCAGAAAACTGTGTCATTAGGGACGCCGCCGCAATTGCGACCGGTTCGTGGCGGGCGCAGCGCCCCAAGCGGCAGGGGACTCGGAAGTCGCGTCCGATTTGTTTCAGCTCTGTCGTGAGGAGTCCTGGGTTTTCCGAAGGGTTGGGGTTTTGGCGGCGCGAGGTATCCTTCGATGGAGAGGTTTTTCCTGCTGATGTAAGATTTTCTCGGCTCCTTTTTTTTTGCGAAGTCATCAAAAGTAATTTTCGGTTTGTGCTGCGTACTTTCGTATTCTCATTTTCTCCCCACTCATGATCCCTTGTAATGTATAAGGGGGTTCCAAATTAAGCATAATTTGTTTTCTATTTATGATCTGATGACTCATAATCGCGGTACATCATCAGGATGCTAATGTGGGACGGGAAAAGTCAAGGTGAAAGTTTTCTTGTGAAATTAATCGAAAATGGAAAGCAAAATTTTTTAAAATGAAAATTCCCAAGTTAACGGAATCCGCTGAGAAGCGTTGTGAACCTTTCGTGTCCACCATCAAAAAGACGATCCCGGGGTCGTAACGACAAGGCTGCGGTGATCTGGTCGTCGATGTCGGAGGGGGTTTTCGTGTTTCGTTTCCCTATTGACCCCATCGTCGCCGCTCTTTGAGCCATGCCGAACTCGAGGACACGGGAGAATAACTGAAGAATACTCTTGACCTAAGATAAAGATAATGGACTCGTGTCGTCACGCGTTTATCGGTCATTGATAAATTAGTCATAACTATTTCTGGCTTGGGAGGCGTCCCCCTATCTCTGTACGGTCGTACGTCATGTCCTTGTGACGAATAATATATACATTTTATCCTTCCTCTCCCTTCCTCATGTGGGTACCTCCCCTTTCATTGAAGCGTCAACCGACGTGATTTGTTATGGTCCACGCGACCCCAGCGACTCCAGGCCGACTCTGAAGCGCCCGGAGCCGACATTGCGTTTTAAGCTCCCGTTTCCTTCTGGCAGGTTTGTAAGCTTAGTATTTGGGGGAAATTAATTTGTTTCATTCGCGGTGCCGCAAGCACGTCTCAGATCCGCTTTGCATGTACTAATTTATGCCGAGTCGATTTTCTGCATTCGTATTCAAATGGGATAGATGCAGCGTTTCTCTATTTCTCTTTCATCGACTCGTAGGCTCCCGTGATGGAATCCGTAAAGTGTGTTATCCATTGGTTACAGAGAAAAGCCGGAACGGTAGTCAGGAACAGTGTTGCCAGAGGAGGAAGACGTTAGCATCTCTCGATAAGAGAGGATAAGAGGGTCTGAGAAGACGTTTCATCGATTGACCCAGTTTTCCTCGACCCTTGCTTCATTCTTGCTTTCCTTCCCCTCCATTCCGAGCTGAAGGGGAAATGAGCTGCGCGGGCTGGGCTCTCTCGAGTGGAGGGGGAGATGAGTCATTCAAGGTCGCGGGGGACCCGGGACTTCCGACCTTCCGTTCTTCCTCGTTGAGAGGTACATAAACGGGAGGAAGGACGGGGTCGGATGGCCTTTCCATTCGTTCCTTAGCGGAAGTGCATGAGGAGAATTCTCGTCCTCCAATTATGAGGCGGCTGTGACTTCATCGGCGGCGGGGACGTGTGATTCAGCGCGAAACCTCAAGCAGGCAATTCGAAGGGTGAATGTTGAACTCGCGTTCCGTGAGTCAGGCAGGCCTCCTTCTGGGAAGAGATCAGGAGGATTCGGTTGGGAATCTTAGGCGTTGACGTGTTTTCCTCCCCTTCGTTCTCGTTGCTTGACATCATCGGCGATTTCGGGAAAAAAAATAAAAAATTTTTTTTTTTCGTTTTTCCGCAGGATCATAACGTGGATTATGTGCTGAACGTGAGTCTTTCCATCCCGAAGCCGGAGTTCATCAAGGACTCGCATTTCATGCGGATCCCCGTTAACGATTCCTGCAACGAGAAGCTTCGACCGCATTTCGAGAAGGCTTTCCAGTTCCTCGGTACGTCATTCACTCCATGGAGTCGTCTTTTAATTATTCCCTCCCCCCCC